TCAATGCTCTCCTTGGTAGAATAAATACATGCAATCTTTATTAAATGACACAAAGTCTATGTGACCATGCCCAGTGATTTGAAAGAGTTAATATGTTCTCAAATATAAGTTGAGCATTCCAAATCTGAAAATCCAAAATCCAAAATGCTCCAAAATCTGAAACTTTTTGAGTGCCAAAATGACACTCAAAGGAGAAGCTTGTTGGAGCATTTCAGATTTCAGATCTTCAGATTAGGGATGCTCAACCAGTAAGTATATGTAATGTAAATATTCCAAAATAAATAAAGAAGCAAAAAAATCCCTGAAATCTGAAACACTTCTGGACCCAAGCATTTAGGGATACTCAGCCTATACCTCTTACATCAAGAGCAAATAGTCTATTGTGGCTTAAAAATACAAAATTATTTTATTTATATATTTGCCCTGTGTTTCTCATTTGTACAACAAACATAATTGGCTGATTAGGGCAATTGTGCCCTTTGTAGCATAATATTATGGATTAAAAAGCTCGAATCGTATCAGTTAGAAAATGAAAATTTGCTGATTAGCCACTTAATTAAGAGGTGAATGACACTACCCTCCCCGCACATTGATTGACTTTCATATACATATACATATATTTTGTGTGTGTGTGTGTGTGTGTGTGGGTGTGTGGGTGTGTGTGTATTTCTCTGAAATATGGGGTGTTTTGAGTTCTGATGAAGAAAAGTGCTCTGCAAGCACACAGTGATTATGGTGAGGTTTTAATTTTATGTGGCAGGCTTACTATTTAAAGAGGTCCTTACATTAGATTTCCTTTATGTTGGGGAAGCCCTGTATTTTTAACAGCTTTAATGAGGTGTAATTTATATATCATAAAATATACCCATTTTAAGTGTTCAAATGAATAAACTTTAATAAACTTATAAAGTTATAGAGTTATGCAACTACCAAGATAATTTTGTTTTAGAACAAGATTTCTATCACCCTAAAATTTTGCTTGTGTACATTTGCAATCTAGTTGTATACTATATGTAGTCTCAGGCAACCACTTTCTTTCTACTTTCTTTCTCTATAGATTTGCCTGTTTTGAAAATTCATTATTTTAATTGGAATCATACAATAAATGTTTGTCTTTTGTGTCTGGCTTTCTAAAAAAAAGTAACATTGTTTTTCAGTTTAATTCATGTTGTAGCATGTATGTTGCTATTTTGTTTCTTTTTATTATTAAGTAGCATTTCATTGCATAGATAATATCACACTTTGTTAATCTATTTACCAGTTGATGGGCATTTGGATTGTTTCTACTTGGGGCTATTATAAATAAAGCTGCTGT